TGTTGCTTTGCCTTTATAGTGAGGCTGCAGCGCACCTCTGCTCAATACCTGAGCCTGCTGTTTCTCTCAGTTCTTTCTCACTATTACAATACCTATTTCCATGGATAAACTCAATACAAACAACTTTTTCTTCTCAGTGTTGGGTCTAATAACACTGCAGCTACTAGTAATATCAAGGTTAATTTGTTGATTTGGGCGAGCTGAGAAGAAAAAGTGATCTTTCTGGCTGGTCGCTTTGAAGTCTGGATCTGAGAATGCCAGTTTCCTTAAATTCCTACGGTGGTGCGGTCTTTTTCTTATCCGGGTCCGCTAAATATCTAGACCGGCCAACAGACGAGGCAGCTCTTTGGGTTTCCATCTCGTCCGTGGGCTGAACCTTGGCGCCATGAAGGGCACGCCGAAAGGCCCAATACCTCGATTCCTCGGGAAAGTCTTTGCGGGCCATCAAGTTGGATGGTCGAACAAAAATAAGCCAATCGAAAAAGCCTTGCAATGGGAAAAAGATGGACCTAGCAACATCAAAGGGAACAGCGACGCTTCATCTTCTGCGTCGTAGTCTAAAGCGGCCATGTTACGTAACATGGCAGACCGCAGCAAAGTGATGAGTTGGCTTGCATAGAGGAAAGCCTGGCTGGCCACCATTTGAATCCTTTGAGCTTGCGCCTCGTGGATGGAAGAATCTGTGGATGTTCTTCTGAGGGAAAAGGAGATTCTTTTGGTTGTTGGGTTTTTTGCCTGAGTTGCTCGGTTGTATCTGCTGCTGCGGTGAATGGTGGCTCGAACATGGCAGTAAACAAGTACATTGCTAATGACCACGGTGATGAATCCCAGTACCGGTACATTTGGCAAGCCTCCAAACATCCAGGCAATCATGGGTGAAAGGCAGCACTCTCCATTGTCATCTTCACGACACCCACAGCCTGGTGGGTAGTTGGCTACCCAGCAACCATACCCCAACGTGACTTCGTGGTACACTCCCAGAATCGCCCCAATCACGGCTGTGACCAGAGGATACCCTATAGCCAGCAAATGGATCCAGGGTTCGTATCTTCGAGCCATTATCATTTCACGCACTCCCTGTCTCACAGTCAGGAGGAAATATAAACTCAGCATGGCACAATAGATGGCATTCATAAAGGACAGCTGCTGGAAGAAACCCACGGCACTGCAGGTTTCATCGGTTCCAATGGCCCACGCTCTTTGCGACGTTTCACTTGGTGATAGGGTCGATTGCAAGGGAATTAGTACAGTGACAATCAAGTCACCGACACTTAACCCCATAAGAATTCGCCGGTAAGCTGTCCTCTTTTTGCAAGAAAGGATCATGTATATGATGTTGCCACTACGCCAGATATTCAAAAGACATGGAATGATGGATGTGATGCATTGGATCAGATCCTGGGTCTCCGAAAGGAAGGAGATGTCTTCGTTGTCCATTGTCGAGTACATTGTAGCTCACCATGTTGCTATGTTGCTATATGCATCTTCTATCTTATGCCTTTTGACGCTGTTATTTCTCGGTCTTGTGTTCATCAAATAAATGCTGTGACTTTGCTCCTTGCGATCCGATCCGTTACCGGAAAGGTTCGCGGGGAGGAAACGCGTGGACGCTTTGGGGCCAACGGTCCCATAAGTGAGAGGGTGTGTTTTTAGAAAGGTTTAACCGAGCGAAGCCATTGTTAAACCGTTGGGGCAGGAGAAAAACGTAAAATCGTAAAATAGCTCTCAAAACAAAAAATCGATTTTTTCAACTGTCGTTTACTTAACAGTCAAGTCCCGGTGAAAAAACTTAGGAAAGCCCAGTTGTGTTGCCTGTACGACTGTACGACTACTTCCTGTTCCAACGAGTGATTGAAGATTATCTTGGGATACTGGTATACCGGTACACTGTACCTGGTACAGTACCATACCTTACCGGTACCTGGTACCGATGCAATCATTCTTGCCTCGTGACGATCACTATAAGGAATGATACTTGGGGTTTGGGGCTCCCACCTCTTCCTCCCGTGGCTTCGGGTACAGTACCGGTACAAGTATGGACGCGTCGGTACAATGAAGGCAGCAACAATTCCAGAGTACAACAACTGCTGCTCTCCCGCACTACTGCCTACTCTGAGTAGCTAGCTAGCGGGTGAAATGACACAATTCAAACAACAAATTTCCATTCAGTATCACTTTGTTGTTGTTCTTAACAATTATGATAGCATCACAAATCGAGCACCGACAAGAGTGACCAATAGAGCACCTCTAATGAAGGCAAACGCTGCCTCGCTTCACTGCTCTCAAAGGACCGGCCTTCCAGGAAATTTTGAACACGGTGATTTTTGTCCAAATCATGCTTTCAAAGACTGTGCAATTGCAGGACTGTCCCCAACAGATGGTACTAACAAGGTATGGTAGAGCAGGCAAAGAAAATGAAAGCAAACTTAGTAAATTTAGCAACAGTTTACACCTATGACCATGGTTAATGCTGCAAGATCGTCTCCCCTCTGTCCCCAACAGATCGGTACTACTAGAGTGAAATGCGATTTACGACCCACCTTTCCGCGGATTATTCTCTTAAGAGGTGGATCTCGAATATTGTACTTTTAAGTAGCTGAATCGAAAGGGCATATGTTGTTGAGTATCCCCTTAAATTCCCAAGATCAGAGTGTACTTATTGATGGAGTTATTGTTGATTGAAAATATCCTCACTTTTGTGACGAATTCTTTTTCTCTGCAGTCTAAGACTTTACAGTACTTAACTGTGTAGGATCCTACATAGGAGAGTCCTGTAAGATCCTACGGAACACTTAGGAAGCACCTCTATTGCTCTGGTACTGAAGCTACGTAGGATCCTACATAAGAACCTCTATTAATTACCCGGTCTTAATCTTCACCCGGTCTTAAAATGACATTTACTCTAGTAACAAGGTATGGTGGAGCAGGCAAAGCTTCATAAGGAAATGAAAGCAAACTTAGTAAATTTAGCAACAGTTTACATCTATGACTATGGTTAATGCTGCAAGATCGTCTCCCCTCTATTATTCAACTTTGGTATTGTCTTTTTCTTTCACGAGCCAACGAGTTGGCTGCAAGGTACAGTACGGTACAACTTCTTCGAAACAACTACTTGGTGCCAGCTATATTCATCATGTCGCTCATTGCACAATGATTTGGAGCAACATGATGGATGCCGCTACTGCCGCCGCAAGTAGCGAAGATGGATGGCGACAGCCACTGGTAGCGTTCTCTTCCTCGCTGCCACCTGTGGTTGATCCCTCCTCGCCGGCACCCGAATTTCGAGGGTCAAACATGGGAGGAGGCATGTCCGAGTCGCTGTTGCGCGACACGTCACTGTCATTGTCCACGTGGAGTTCCAACACCCACGCGGATGGAGCTGCCGATGGCATAGGCGCAGTGGGCGCCCCTGTGGGACTTGCAGAGGGCATTCCAGTTTTTGATGTCGGTGCCACTGTGGGCACTGAGGAGGGCTGGTCACTGGGCACCATGGAGGGAACATCCGACGGGGCATCGGATGGCATGGCGGATGGTTCACCAGTAGGAGCCAGGCTGGGTGGTGCGCTGGGATACAATGTAGGTACCATGGATGGAACATCCGACGGGGCATCCGATGGGACGCTGGACGGAATGTCCGATGGCTGCGTTGAGGGCGATAACGAAGGAACCGACGATGGTTGGCTGGAAGGTACCATTGAAGGTTGGTCCGACGGGACGCTGGATGGTACATCTGAAGGTACCATGGAGGGGACATCCGATGGAGCATCACTGGGCCACAAGGATGGCATGTCGCTAGGAGACTCAGAAGGAGCGGTGGTGGGATGCTTTGTGGGAGACGAAGTGGGTGCCGCCGTGGGCCATGCTTCGTACCAAGGATACTGAATGAGCCCCGAGTAGAAGGTTTCGAGAATGGTTCGGCTGACCGCATGTCGAATGACAAAGGCATCGTCAGGATCAAAGTCGTAATCATCAATATCTGGGAGCCACATTTGTCGCAAGGGATCGTATCCGGTAATGGCGGTGGCTACCGTCAAGCCTGCAACATAGGTTCCTTGCATGGATGGGTAGTTGGTGTCGCCTGAAAAAAGACGACTAAAGAGACAATCGTCGCTCAATGGATCAATGTTGGCATTGAGACAGTCATTGTAGATTGTCTCAAACACAAGACCCACAGGAGCCACAAAGGTGGGACTGGCGGGTGTGGAAGTAGCGCTAATGTATTGTAGGTATCCCTCGAGCATGGCTTGATTGTGCGAGATAAAGTCTGCGTATTCGACCCCATTTCCCACAAACCCATTGCGCCGTCCCCATGTCATGAGGAACATGGTGCGTACTACCAAGGCATCTTCGGCGTAGGAGTGCAAGGTTTGTGCTGCCACGGTACTATTGGCACGCCACGTGGGTAGCGCTGGAATATCGCCGTGTTCCTGGAGAATCATCCATCGATAATTGTTGCCATCGTGAAAGTCGGGAGCGCTGGGATCAGTCAGCATGTAGTTGACATGGGTACTCAATGTAGCACCAATGGGACTGTGTCGTTCGACATTGATCTTGTTCCCTGCGGCGCGATGGTAGGAAGCTTGAAAGTGGCGCGGCAAATCAAAGATGGATAAGGAGTTATCTCCAAAGAAATAGGCTGTGGGGGGTCCTTCTGCTTGGGCTCTCACTATTATCTCACTGGACCACAGGCACAGTGTAGAGATAAGGAGGTGATTCCAGGAAAGGGGTCGACAACGCAAATTCGTCATGGTCAAAGAAGAAAGAATAAATTGTTGACTTCTCAAAGCGGTGATGAATGAGGGCAATTTGTGGGCCAAACTTCGTTATTTCTGCGACTATACAATAATCAGTACAAACTTCGAAAGAAAAATGAGGAAGCAATCCGTCAAAGTGAGGTGAGCACCTCGCCGGCAACATTTTCGCAGAAAGAACATTCTTTGTACAACGGCAAATCTAGCTGGTGGTTGTTTGCTTGCACAGAAGAGCAATCGAAACCAAATAAATGGCACCCTACCGGTACCGACATCTATCTGAATCAATTCCTCAGCCTGTGTTTTTGGTGCTCTATTGGGATTGCGACCCTCAACCTTCTTCCTGTTGTAATCCAATTGCGCAGCAGTTACTTTTGCTCCAGTGAGCTCCTAGGTGGGAGCTGAGTATAAGTCCTCTTGGCTTCGCTTCTGCCGTGATGGCGGTTGGCTGCATCTTTGTCCACAAGTCTGTCCACACGAATGTTGTCCTTGTACAGATCAGCGGCTTTGCTGTTTGCGTTCTCTTTTCCTTGGTAAGCGATCTTGTCTCTATAACTCGTGGAGTACTTGCAGCCAATGTAAACATTGTACCTTTCACCAACCTTCTCTGTTTTGATCACTTTGATTTGTGTATCCTCTTGTATGGCTGCTTCATTGATCCTCTTCACAAGACTTTTGTGGTAGTCAAAGGAGGGTTCATAGACATCTTTGGGAAGGATAAGTTCTCCACCAAGTGATTTGGAGCCAAAAGCTGTGTCATACTTGAAGACTTGACACAAATTGATCTTATCTTGCCCTTCAACATTTCCAACAGAATCTGTGATGGTCTCCATGAGTGCTCCCCCTCCTGCAAATCCCCATGGAGGACTGCTGGTGGCAAGTTGGCCATAGTTTGATCAGTTGTTTTGTTTGTTGATGTTGCTCAAAGCGTGTTGTGTGTGCTGCTGAAAAAACATGTTTTGTCTCAGAAAGAAACAAGGAAGGAAACTTTGACAGAAAGAAAGAGGAGCCAAGCCAAATTTTCGTCTTTCTGACCTGTTTCTGTGTTTTGGTCGTCCGGACTAAATCATGTTTTGGTAATTGGGAATAAAACGCGTAATAGTCATTAAGGTTAAAACAAGTTTTAGTAAATCGGAATAAAACAAGCTTTAGTAAATCGGAATAAAACAAGATTTAGTAACTCGGAATAAAACAAGCTTTAGTAAATCGGAATAAAACATGATTTAGTAAATCGGAATAAAACGTGTTTTAGTCATTAGGACCAAAACTTCAGTTGGGTTTGCAAGCGGGGTGAGATACTCTGTGTTATAATCCTGATGTGAGCGGAATCCTCTACTGGTACACAGCACCGAAATCATTGTTACATGGACTTTGTATGGCTTCAGGAAAATAGGTTCCAAGACAACTGATCCAATCCGATTGAGATTCACAGCCACTCTGAGTAAAGTTTGATTTTATCAGGTTCAACATTGACGGAGCAGCCCAGGAGCACAACAAATAAATTTGCCACCATCCAAAGCTGACCGAAACAAATGCAATAAAGGCTGGAGGAGCAATGACACTTGAAGTGTGATTGAGCGAGGAAGCAAAATGGCTGGTGGGGAGTGTATTGGCTGCTGGAATGGACCATTCCATATACCCGCGCACAACAGCCGGAATCTAAGCTGCCACCTGATCTTATGGCTGCTGGTTGTCCATCCAAGAAGAGCATAGTAGGATGGGCCCGATAGAAAAACCAAGCACAGGCCAATGTCCAAGAATCCCAAGCCAGAACAAAGTGAAGACATTGAAACTTGAGATTATGGTTGTTACATGTAATTGCCATGGTTTGATTTGGCTGCTCCTGAGTTCGTCGGCCAAACAGAAATCCTTCCACCTGGATTCGTTCCAGCACCATAGTCACCGCAGCCAGCCAGCCAGCCAACTAACTACCTTGGCTGCATCGTTTCCCTACCGGTAGTACACTGTATGGTAATAACTATGCCTGATATACAGCAGCACTTGCTGCCAAATTCAGCAACAAATGCCGATTGTCCTTGTTCCGCTGGAATCTGCCTCCATGCCAATGATGACGGTCTGCAATCCAGTGATAGTTGGAAACGACAAACACCTCACCTAATCCGGTGCGTGGGTGTCCACGAGGAAAGAACATGGATGTATGATGCGTGCCACCAGAGTGGAATGTGGTTTCACCCAGATTCACAAATTGTCCTGTTGATGGAAATGGTCCATTCGGAAGGCTTGCAAGACGGGATTTGCGGGCCCTGCGAATGAATGGACTGTGAGGGATGACATCGATGCCTAGCCAATCCACCAATTTTTGGTTGAAATGTCCATGTTGGCTGTGTTCAGAAAATGCTGTGACAACGGCAGTTCCACCATTTCGCACAAAATGAATCAAGCCCTGCTGTTCTTCGTCACTGAGACCGGGTCCTTCTGTGGTACATAAAATAAGCATGTCCACTTGTTTTTGCTGTTGTTCCTCTGTGAAAGTTGGTAGCGTATCCACAAGCTCCAACTGGAACGCAAAGTGTGTTTCTAGCTCTGATCTCATGCTGTCAAAGTTGTGTGCCAGCGAGGAAGAACCACATCGTCTGGGTGTAAAACCCATCACTATAAAGGGCATGTGCACTCGACGGCACACACAAGGACACCTTTGTTGTTGTTGCTGCTCATTGTTGTTGCTGGTGGTGGAAGTAGTAGTACTTTTGAGAGAGTCGCCACAAGCCTTACACTTCCACACTGCGTCATCTTTGGGTTGAAGCAAAAGGCCGTAGAGCTTTGCAGGCCCATCATTTTCGATCGCCTGTTGTACTCGTGCCGGTGGCAGTTCACGAGACCCAAGAAATGGCTCCAGATGAGGCTCCCAGAGCGATTCTTTCCGTGACAGGCTATATAGACGCCGACAGGTCCTGCCTACCAATGCCAAAGAAGCCACATCCAAGTACTGCTCCAATAGACTCAACAGAACTTCATCGCTCAAGTCCACGAGTGACAGACCGCCCCTTGACGGATGCTCATTCTTTGGAGCCTTGCCCTGTCCCCTTCTCGGCATTTCCACGCTTCTCTTCTTGAGATTACGGAACATGTTAGACAGATAGATAGACCCAAGCCGGCTCTAGCTATTCAAGCTGAGCGGGCTTCAGCGAATAGCGCAACAGGAGGTTCTGTTGTTATAGTAGTGTGGTACACGAAAAATAAGGAGGTGTTGTTGCTCGGACTGGATCTTTGTGCGGTGCTATTGTTCTGCGAGACGTGCTTCCTCAGTTTAGTCTCAGTCGAGTCCTCAGTCGGCATAAGCCAGCAAGAATGCTTTGGCTGTCTTTTGTTCGGGTTGTCAGGAACTTTTAAAAAAAACTGAGTCAGAAAAATGAGCGGCTTGGAATGGATCCATGGAAGCCTCATCGCAACCCTCAACCCACAACCAACACTACCATAGGAAACCCGATTCACAACACTACCAACACTAACTACAGTACACCAGGAGTAGTCTAACGTAACCTGCAGCACATACATTGCAACCATGAAGCCCCTCCCTTTCCTCTGTTGTTATTGGATTTCCTTTTTGTTGGCTACCTCACCCGTAAAGGCATGGGTATTTCCAACAAGAGTTCTACCAACTGCCATTACTACTACTACTAAGGAAAGACATGTTGTGTTCGCCAAAACGGCACTGTCAGTAAGCCCGACGGAATTTGGGGCATTTGGGGATGGTGAGACTGGGAAAAGTCTCGAAGTAGTTGTCGACAGCAACCAACCGTTGTTGCCCTTGCGGGAATTGTATCCTGCCAGTACAGCTCGCTATAACGGAACTCTCTCCGTGGATTCCATTCATACTCTGTATTACGAAGTGCATGGCAATAATGATAATAATAATGATGGAACACCACAACGAGCCGCCTTGTTTCTACACGGTGGACCCGGAGCGGGTTGTACTGCCAACCACGCTCGATTCTTTGATCCAGATCTCTACGACACCATTGTACTGTTTGATCAACGAGGCTGTGGAAAAAGCACGCCTCGTGGTATGGTCCACAACAATACACTGGAGCATTTGATTCAAGATTGTGAATCCTTGCGACAACACATTCTTGGCGTCCATGGCGTGTGGCACACCATTTTGGGAGGATCCTGGGGATCCACACTTGCCATTGCGTATGCCCAAGAGTATCCACAGTGCGTCAAATCCTTGGTCCTTCGTGGCGTCTGTTTGCTACGGCCGGCGGAAGTCGATTGGTTGTTTACACCGCAGGGTGGAGCCGCCCAACAAAATCCAGAAGCGTGGCAGACATTTGCCAACACTGTGATGGACGACGACGAAGAAACTAGTAGTACTGATACTGATGACCATCGCAGTGTACTCCACAAGTACTATGATTGCTTCTTTGGAACCAACACGACCAAGCGATGGATGGCAGCCAGAGGTTGGATGACGTGGGAATTCACCGTTTCGGCATCCTACAAAAAGGACCTAACGTCAGAGGACAGTCCTGCCGTGCTAGTGTCCTATTCCGATCCGGGTGGTTGGGCTTACCAAGATCGATACGGTAGAGTCTTGGAACCCGAGGAGATTCTTGATGACTCACAACTGGATGCGGCTGCCAATGACATGCCACATAAACTCCGACAAGGGCTGCCACCACAACAATCACCATCTGCCCAGCAACGCAGACACATGGCGCTGACTGACTTTGAAGCAGCTCAGAAGGAAACCATGGGAAACTTTAGTGGTCTTCCGGCAATGCCCATGCTCACGTGCTACTATTCGACCAACGATCGCCATGTTATGATGGCGGATCTCTTGTCGACGAGGATGGACTCCATACGGAACCTTCCTTGCATTGCCGTGCAAGGGGGGCGCGATCCCATTTGTCCTCCCGACACGGCGATGGACGTCAAACAACAATGGCCTGGGATGGAACTACGAATTCCACTAAATGCCGGACACTCCATGTACCATCCCGAACTCGTACATGAGCTTGTCCAGGCGACGGATCGGGTGGGTCGATTTGTCACCTGAATACGGTGGTGGTTGGCAAAATCAAAAAACCAACTGTCATGAGGGCCTCACTTTGGCTGAATGGGGGAAGAATGCATTCATTCAGTCTGTGAAAAATGACTGTACGGGCTAGCCTAGCTAGCATAGTGCACCGCGAGAGGAGTCTCGTGTTTCAGAGGCAAAGTAGCTATCAGCACAAACTGAAACGGAAGCGGTGTGTGGTCAGCATGTAATAGACCAAGACTGTTTGCAGGTGCCGGCATTGCTTGCTCTCTAGTTGGAGACTTCGGAGCCGCCTTTCTCAAAAAATGCTCCTTGGCTGAACTGGTTGCTTTCAAATCAAGGCAATTCGAATGGTTCGATTGAATCGAATCGAATCGAATCGAATTGAACCAAACGCTTTCTTTTCTTGGGATCCGGGACTTCAAACTGAACGTAAGAAAAGTTTTACGCCTCCGCTCCCGCTCCCTTGACATTAAGATATCTCTGAGTTTGCTTCCATACTAGGGAATCTTAGCATTGTCACAAATAGTCCTACTGAACTTATATCTTCTAAAGCTCAGGATTCATCACCAGGGTAATGTAGTATCTTAACATTTGATTAGGAAGAGAATGCTATGGGGCATTTCTACTCTGCTTCACACCTTACTCAGCACACTCTAAGGTGAAGAGAGGAAAGAGCCAGTTTATCACCTGCATGAGGCAATTTTTTTGACTTTTGGCACCTGTTTTTTCTAATGAAAGGCAGTTTGTTGTAGAAATATGTCCATGTATCATCTCTCAATCTCTTATGTATGTGCCAAAGGGAGAGCACTCACTGGGGATCTTAGCTCTGGTGATGATCTGAGTGTCTCCAGTATCTTAGCATTTCAGCAAATCTTAGTACTCGACATCTTCTCTCCAACTCTTTTAGTATCAAGGGAGGAGTGTTTCAGTAGCAGTAAAAAAGAACCGTGAATTTGCATTCGCAGTGTACACGTACGTACCAGGTTAGTGTCAGTTATGACTTATGATCAGTCATAGGAAATTGATTACTATAGACCTCAAAGGCTTCAATCACAAAGATACTTAGAGAATTTTGGCGGCAGAAAGTCCCAATTGCTTTTCTAGATTTTTGCGAAAGATCGGCCTCGACCTCCCCAATCAATTTGCTCACTGCTCACAATTTCTCAGTGCGAGGGTCATCGATCTCAACAATCATGAAGCTGTCTCCCGTCGTTCTGCACGCCTTGGCCCTCTTTGCCACCAATGTGGCTGCTTTGGCTGAGATCAATGATGAACTTGCCGCGAATCTAAAGGAGGAGAGGGACGCAAAGGAGTTCATTTTCAATGAAGTGTTTAATGATCGCATCTGGAATGCTGCGACGAAATCCAAGAAAGTTAAGGAAGGCGAGATTCCCGAGCCACCCTTTGTGGACGAGCCAATTGACGTCCCGGAGCAACCCTTGATGCCTGAAAAGTTTTCCTTTACAGGTCTGTTCACCAGTGCCTTCGCCAGCGATGCAATCTATGACTCGCAGCCTCTCTGGTACTCCATGGCCGTGGATGGCTTTGACGGCTCCATCACGGGAGATGGCACGACGCTCTATTTCCAGTTGGATGATTTCATTTGTGATGCCAATGCGACAGAGTCCCATTCTTTCATGGTTGGTACTTTCCAAACATTTGACGGTCAGGGTGACACTCCCGTGCCTCAAGAAATTTGCTGGGCTGCTCCCCCGGGATTTCAAATCAATGAAGGGTATCCACCCCGCTACAAGTCTTTGGTAAGTTCCCCTTTTCTCTTGACATGCTCTCGTCAACCGGGTTTTCTAACACCAATGGTTATTCCCAAAGGTGTCGTCTTGGCTAATTGGAGATCTTTTCAATATCACGTGGCAGTACGGAGGTATTACCCCCAGTGATGCTGGCCCAGTTCATCTCTGGATCCGTGAGACATTGAGTGAAGCTACAAACTTTGGTGCTACCGCAGCCTCTACTGTGCTTGCAAACACGGTCAAGGATGGCACCATTATCTACTACCAGACTCGACTTTCAACAGAAGTTGCAGGCATTAGTTCCGTTGAGGAAATATTGTTCTCTGGAGCAGATGCTACAATCAAAATTGACATCTATGACTTCCAGAGATATTCTGAGGATGAAGACGTTCCAAACGCAAAGCTTGAGCCTGAGGTTGAGGAAACCTGTTCAATCATGCAAGCAGGATACGTAAGTCTTGGCTTCGAAAGCGGGGTAGAAAACAGGTCTTGTAGACTTTGTGCCCAGTGCCACTCATGTCGCTTGTGCAACTTCTATGGCCATTTCTCCAACATAAAAGAATACTGGTCAGTGTGCCGGCAATGCAAGCAGTGCTTCCTTCAATGCAGCGGTCGCAGCCTTTGTAGAGAACGTGAATGCTCGAGGTACAGGTTATAGGGAAGATGCAGAAAGTGGTTATCCATCCTCATACGTCCCCTATGAAATGGTGGGTGACCAGGATATGGTCTTGAGTCTTGATTTCTTTGTACCTCCCATGAACAACCGCTCCTACATGCCAGTCCGAAACCAGGGTGGCTGCGGCTCCTGCTACAGCTTTGCTGCTGCAGAAGTGATCAGTTCTTCATTCGCTCAAGCCAATCCTGGAACCACATTTGTCTTTTCAAACCAGCACGTCATGGACTGCCTTCCGCTAGCTGCTGAACCAGTTAGCGAGACTGAGTTCATATATGTGGATTCAGGCCTGTACGTTTTTGTTTTTGCAACATTGGTCTGTCCGCCCTTGATCTGTCTCGCTGTCTCGCTGTCTCACTGTCCACTTTTTTGTTGGTTCTTCGCCACTGATCTGCAGTGGGTGCTGGGGTGGCGATCAAAAACAAGTAATTGACTGGCTTGTGGCCACAGGATCCAATATGCCTTTGCTTACTACCGTGCCTTACATTGGCTTCTCTGGCACGTGCAACGAGACTGTCGACATGTATCACACCGGCATCACCGGCTATTCAAACTTGTCGTCTGTTGAGGAGATGAAAAACGCACTGTACTATCACGGAGATGTATCCATTTCGTTGAGCGTCGGGTTTGGATGGTATTCTGATTTCACGAGTCTAGTTTCTTGGCCTTTCTTCCTAGGGCAGGGAATTTCTGGCGAACCAGAACCTGCCAATCACGCAATTACTGTCATTGGCTGGGGTGAGTTTTGATCCTTGGGGAAGTGTGTATCCCATCAGTATTTTAGACTGATGCCATCCCGCCCTTTTGGTTCTTAGGTCCATGCCTTGTTCCCTTGGGTGACTTCGAGAATCCTTGCGGTATCCCCGGAGAATCTCCAAATGTGCTTGGCGAGTGCTGGATTGTGCAGAACAGGTAGGCATTGATGTGCTTTTTTCAAACTAACTTTGTGCGTGGTGATCCTTCTTCTCACATGCTTGGGTTTTCGTGAAGTTGGGGGACGGACTGGGGCTACCAGGGCTACCTGTTCGTCAACACCGACCCCTACTGTGATACTGGAGTCTTGTACAACGACCCAATTATTCCCCGCAGGGACTAGCCAGCCAGTGGAAGCTAGGTTCTTCCAAGTTGGAGAAAGAACCGAGGCTACTTAACCCTTCTAGTAGTGTGCATGGCCATCACCATGCAGAAACCAAAATTTCAACAGCCAAAACTTGTTCGAGTTGCCTCGATATATGGCATGTGGCGCTGCAGCATGATAATTATATGTTTGTGTTTAGACTGATGCCGTCAGATACCTTAGTATAGAATTGCATTCGTTTTGGAATACCTTGCAAAAAATCGTGCTGAAACTCCATGGAGGATGTAGAACGATAGAGGAGTCCGGTCACCTTGCCTTGCAAATACGGCCTCCCATGACAGTGCCTTCAGTTGGAACGAATAATATAGAGCGCTAACGTTCGCCAAGAGACGGTCTCCTGGAACTTTTTGCCACAATGTGGGTTTTGGGAATTTGGAAAGCAAACTAGCGTCCCGCCCCCTGCTGGATGAAAACGTACGCAACAAGCTGGTGGAGATAACCCTCTGTGAAAAGGTGTTTGTTGCCCCACGCCCAAAACGCATTGCAGGCTGCAGTGGACATTGCGTCGTAGAGGCTGTCGACTGTCTTCGCTTCATCCATTCCAGTCCAGCTAGATTCCTTGATGACGTATTCCAACGCAGTCTCGCCTTCTTTCTTGTCTTTGTGGAAGATTTTTTCAGCTTCCGTCTTCAATTCTTCACTGCTCGTACCACGCTTCGTTGCTGCCTCCAACGCCGCGGTGATGCCAACACGAAAAGCTTCCAATTCTACAGTTTGGTCAAAGTTGTTGCTCGAAATAGATGAGCTTTCTGGCGGTTTTGCCATTCCCGGGGCTAATACATGAATCCGTAAAAGACAGCATTGAGCCTCTGCGCTCAAATTTACAAAGCTTGGTGGGCTTTCTTGGAGTCGCTGGAGTCCTTGCGCGATGTCGCCGCCTGTGACATCAAACTCAAAAACCTCCGCTAGTAAGTTTCGAACCGCAAGTGCGATAAAATCATCTTTGCATGCGCCCATCACTTCATTTTGTCTATCATTCGACTTCAAAGTCTCGAATATTTTTGCTGCGGCAGTAAGATCAAGTGGTGGAGAGCTCACTCTCGTTCCCTTTCTCTTTCGCATTTGCTTCACATTCTTGCTTCCCCCTGTCCTTTCCTTCTTGGCGCTCTGGTCAAAGCGAACAACTCTTACTTCCATTTCGCTGTGTCAACTCGTTTTGTTGCGGGTCGTCTGAGGCTCACGATAGGCAAACACATACATCAATCATGGTCGGAAGCAACCCGTGGCCAGCGTGTTGTGATTCGATTTTAGTTTGGTCTTTTTTCTTCCGAGTGCGTGCAGAACTCCCACGATTGAGACTGACTCCCGCAGCGTCCCTTGGGCGGTGCCACCGGTACCGTACAGTAGTACCGTACGGTACGGTACTAATAGTAGTCAGACAACATTGTCATTTCTCGCTCCGTTTCACCCTTTCCTTGTGCTGTCAATCGTCCATGTGTTCTTCCGCATCCTTACAATAGTGATGCATGCCATACGGTACACTGCACCGTGAATGGTGGATTCGAACGATCATCAAACGGTTTTCAGATTCAATCGATTCCAGATGTTTGCGCCCTTTCCCTGCTCACAAATAATTGCATCTCGAGCACGCAAATCTCACAGTATCCGAAAAGGTTGAACCAGTTCATTCTTTTATATGATGAGAACCAATATGACTGTCAAAAGCATTCTACTATTTTCTCTTCTCGCGTGTCATCAGGCGAACGGTCAAAACATCCCCTTCTTCAATGGAGATCCAAACTTTCTCTTCCTTGGCAACAGCTACACTGGCTACAACAGTCTCTCCCAAACCTTCAAGAGCATCGTAGAGGATGGCATCCCTGCATGGCGCAACAAGGTCCTGGAGCGTTCAATAAACCCAGGCGGGAAGACGTTGAATGGGCATTTACAAGATGCCGAGAATCCCAGCAGCGACAGCGCCCAGCGTGAAGCTCTCATCACCAAACCAGAACCATGGAAATGGGCCACGTTGCAAGATCAGAGCCAGGTACCAGGCTTCTATGAATGGGACTGGGCTGGAACTGAGTTTTTCAACTCGCGGACTGCAGCCGTCGAGCTCAATGACCTAATTGGTGGGTTGGGTGGACAAACCATGTTTCTCATGACTTGGGGGCGGCGACAAGGAGACCTAGGCAACGATGATATCTATCCTGACTTTGAGACCATGCAAGCACGGATTACTACAGGGTATTACAAATATGTGAATGCCACGACCACTGCTAGTCGCAGGACGTATGTGGCTCCAGCAGGATTAGTCTTTGAAACAATCTACAATGATGAAATAGATCAAGGCATCGACCCACTGAGTTTTGGAACTCTGTTCCGGTCCTTGTATCAAGCAGATGGGAGTCATCCAGCGGTTGCGGGGACATATGTTGCCGCGTTGACTCTCTACACAAGCATGACAGGCCTGAGCCCGAAGAGAATCAATTGGTTTCCAGACACACTGGAACCAGCCGACGGAAGAAAGATCCAAGATGCTGTCAGTCGGACTATTCTAGAGACCTTCTATAGCGGAGAGATCATCTATCCTTGGGACAAGGCCTTTCCAGACCAAGCCCCTGGTACACCATTGCCAACAAGTGCACCCGTCACACCTGTCCCAACAAGTCGGCCATCCCTGAGACCTACAACACCTTCACCCGTCACTCCAGCGCCAACGACTGCACCGCCTACACAAGCTCCAGTCTCACCTTCACCCACACAAGCTCCAGTCTCACCTTCACCTACGCAAGCTCCAGTTTCGCCAGCACCAACACAAGCTCCAGTCTCTCCTTCGCCCACACAAGCTCCGGTCTCACCTTCACCCACGCAAGCTCCAGTCTCACCATCACCAACACAAGCTCCAGTCTCACCCTCACCCACAAAAGCTCCAGTCTCACCCTCACCCACACAAGCTCCAGTTTCACCTGCACCCACAACAGCGCCTGTTTCACCACCAACCACACCTAATCCTACACTGCGCCCTACTTCACCTCCCCAAACTCCTGACAATGGCAACAGGGGTTCCATTGAGGTTCGATTCAAGATGGATGAGTTCTCAGACCAAATTTCATGGTCATTCAAGGGAGAAGATTACGGATACTTGAAACCCTTTGACAACTATATAACGCCATTTGAGGGTGTCGTCACTACATTCAACGACCTCAAGCCTGGTCAAAGGTACTTTTTCAAGATCAGCGACTCCAACGGGGACGGAATCTGCTGCGATCATGGGAAAGGATTCTTTAGTATCACAGACAAGGTCTCCGGGCGGAATCTCTATTACATGGATGGGGTAGGATTCCAAGCCTACCTCGAACTAGTCTTTGATATTTTGCCCGATGGGTCAGCAACCATCACCCACAAGTCTGGCCAATACCGACCCACTTCTTGGAAAGATCTCGAAGACCAATTGATGCAACCGGACAATGAATCGACTTGGCCAGGGGCATTTCCCACCATGGAAAGGAACAGTCTAGTAGTCAACGTGGATCTTGATGATCACCCCGAGGATGTTTCCTGGACCGTGTACCAACAGATACCAAATTTTGAGTGGTCGCCTTTGCATACTTGGAGTGGCGTGAATGCTACAGCAGGGACTCTGGAGTCTTTGGAATTGTGCGATTTGCCTCCCGGTTGGTATCGTTTCGTGGTCCAGGACAGCCGAAAGGATGGTCTCTGCTGTGATCGCGGAAAGGGATACGTGAGCCTAACGGGTCCATTGCTTCCCACGGATCAAAGCCCCAACAGTACCATGGGTTTGGTTTGGGGCAACAAGGGTCAATACTTGGAGGAAGACGAGATATTCTTTTTGTATTCCCACAGTGGGTTGATTTCCCACATTGCTTGGGATTTGTAGAAAGTGCTTGTGGCGTGAAAATGATGTCCTTGTTTCCTCCTTATATTAGAAGCCAAAACTAGCAGTAAACTATTCATAACCAACTCATTACAGCAAACTACAGTCGCTTATTAGTAGATCTCTATCGATTTGGGATGAAAACTCGCATGGTCAAGCATTTCAATACAGGTGTCTTTGTCAGTCTCATGATCTCCATTGAGATGAAGTATGAAGTGGGGTGCATCCCTACCGAAGGACCATGGGGGTGACCGGTCAAGAGTTTCTTTCTTGGCTCAAGCAGATCTTCTGCTCTCTCAGATTCACTATTCATTTGCCCACCTTTCTAGCCTTGTCATATCCCATTCCCTGCAGTAGCTCCACCACCTTGTCCATGTGGGGGCCCTGCACTTCCAAAACTCCATCCACAAGGGTCCCACCCACACCCAGTTTGCTTTTGAGTGTTTTTAGAATCTTTTTCTTGTCATCGACGGCGGTGGCCGTCATTCCCCGGACAATGGTGACGGTTTTATTGCCCCGAGTTCCACGGACCACTTGGATGGCTTGCTGCGATGGGTCTACATTGCTATTATTGCTGCTAGTATTGCTGTCGATGGTTCCATTGGCCGTTCGTTGTCGTTCTTTTTTGGACATGGGTTTGACACCGTTATTTGGCTTTTTCGTTTTTCGCTTGGAGGGCTTTCCCAGACTTCCAGTGGGACGCGGGCCACGGGAAACCACTCCGTCCGAGTTGATGGATGCAATGGGTTTCTTCTGATTGTTGTTGGCGTGCCACAATAAGGTGCGCTGTTCTGGCCAGCTGGTAGGGAGCGGGGCAGAGGGAAGGAACGCATCCACCTGGACATGATCCATGCTAAGAAGAAAAAGGACAAGTATGACTTGTACAACCCCGAAAATCAGCCGTGATGGGGAGGGTGGCTTGGTCAAAGAGCATCTCATCATCGTGTTCGAAGAGAACATCATCAACAACAAGATCCACAGAAGCACAGTTGAATCTTTGAACAGAGACAGAGAGATACAAAAATGAGGCAAACTGTAGGTTCGATGACAGCTCTGACGGCATTCAAAAAAGCAAACAAAAATGACCGCAGAGTCATAAAGACTTAGGGGTCATCCATGCAAATTCCACCAAGACCTCACTTTTCAAGCGCGGACCTGTTGGGCTTGGAACCAAGACCAGCAGGGCCTCTTGCAACCTTGCAATGGTCCTTTCATTATTTCCACATAATCTCACTATTATATTTTAAATGATAAAGTATTGCCATGACGTCTTTGCAGCAATCCGCTAATACTCGCCTTCGTTGGTTCATTGGATCCCTGGCTATTGCCTCCTTTCTGGGGTACTGGCAGGTGAATACAAGAGTTCTGCAACAGACGGGTCCAGAACCCTGTAAAGAAGCCATTATTCATCCTGCTGCTGCTGGTGTTAGAACGGTGGAACACGACGATGCCATTGCCGCCCATCTTCCGGAGTGGTTACAAGAATACGGCACATGGCATCAAGAAGCTATATCCCAGCTGAATGCGACCAATTGGAGATCGCAACGGTTTTTGGTCATGACGGCCATTCGGGGTCGACGCACGGGAGGATTGACGGATCGATTGAAACCGCTTCCCTTCTTTTTGAAATTGGCCGCCACGACCAATCGTATTCTACTCATTTACTGGAGCAAACCATTCACATTGGAGCAGTATCTGTTACCCCCAGAAGGTGGATTCGACTGGAGAGTCCCGCGGTACATGGTAGATGCCATTGCCACGGCCAAACTGGAAACCCGACCCGAAGGCGTGCGTCGATTGGCCAATGATACCGGAAGTGGGACCATGTTGTTGGCCACGCAAATGCAAGCGCACGATTACGGGGAGGGATGGTACGACGACAATCCACTCGACGGAGACAATACCGGCAGTCGCAAAGATGTCTTTCGACACATGTGGCACTGGACATTTACTCCCACACCACCCATTGCACAGCGCATCCAGGAAGAATTTGATTACATGGGGGTCACTCCGGGGAACTATGCCGCGGCACATATCCGGGCCGTCTATGCCGTCAAGGAACGGTCCGACGATACCATTGTGCGCATGACCAAACATGCCATGGACTGTGTTTCCATGCTGCGGCCCGGTGGACCATTCTTTGTGGCGTCCGATACCGACAAGGCCATTACCGTGGCCAAAGCCTATGGACGCATCAAAAATGTCACTGTTGTGGCATCTTCCAATCACAACCACAACAACCGAAAAGACCCGCTGCATTTGGACATGTACAATACCACGGATCCCTCCATCATGCCAGAAGATTTCTACGATGCCTTTGTCGATTTGTACCTACTGGGGAGTACTCGGTGCATTGCCCATGGCCAAGGCAGTTTTGGCCATTGGGGGTATCTCTTGGGATACGATCCTTCTTGTGAAATTCGACATTTCAAAGGACCCCAATGTGCATGGACCGACGGTCCAACAGCAACAGCACAAGAACAACAAATGAGGGTCTTTGGCGTGGCATCCAAGGAACCACCATCTCGTCCATTGTTCCGACAGCCCATGTCGTACGATTCGATTTACGCATACCGCCACTAACCAACCGACGAAATCACACCCCACGAAATCAATCACCATATCCAGTGTATCGATCGTGTCCGTTTGTACGGTATTCCTGCATGCATGTCAACGAAGATTTTTTAAATAAAAATGTACCAATAAATGGTGGGCTACGGTACGAATGAAACAATCTTCTATGAGAGCCTCCACACACACAAAACATAAAAACAATCTGCAAATTGGTTTTCACTTCCGTTGTTGTCCAGCCAGCGCGGCAATTCATGCAACGCACACAAGGGCCACTTCAGACCATGAATCATGATGTATGTATTGTAGTCGGACAGCCAAAGCGAGTGTTTCTCGGAGCACCGCCAGTCGAAATGAAGACAAGGACTCCCACAGCCAAAGGCACAGCCGAGATATGGCACACTCGTCTATACGGATTCGATTTTGCGATTCCGTCCTGTGACCCCCGTCGTACCAGTGAGTTTTCGTCTCCACCTCTTTTTTTAAAAAGCCACTGACCGTGGCTCCGCATTTGCTGAAAACCGATGCCGACAGATAATATGCCTGACTAGCTAGCTCTTACTAAATATGTATTGCGACCCGTATAAATCGAGAATAGACTGCCATTCCTTGCTTGTCGCCTTTGGAGTCGAGCGATGCGTTGCTGCTGTAGATGGCTAGTAAATAATCTTTTTCGTCTTTTCTCCCTTCTCGACTAGAGGTTGCTGCGGCACCCACGGTGTTTTGGTTCTCTTCGACGCGATAGTTTGTATAGTTTTCTGCCGGTGCAAACAAAGGAAGGACGCATCGAGAAAATGACGGGTGAGAGGCTGAATGTGGAAAGGTAAGCCCAAAAGTTGCCTTCTGTCCATAGAGCACTTCGTTCTTCCATGAGACGCCCACGGCGCTCACAGGCCTCCTCGTAGGTGAGCATTCCTGGCATGGGCATGTATGACACAATTTCTTTTTGAATACCCTGTTCGACAAGACCAGAATCTCCAAGGATTGGTTTGACCTTGTCAGAGTACCATGGAATTTGCTGTGGCGGTACAGTTGCTGTGGAACGGATGCGAAGTGTTGGGTCCACCAAGAACAAGCAGCAAATAGTTCGTTTGCCACTCTGATCAGGGTCAACGAGGTCCACTGGACCCACACAATGCTGCAGCGTGTTGGGCCAAGCCAAAATGCGCCCAGCTGGAGTGGAGCATGTTCCAATCTCTTGAACCATGAGTTGGTCGTCGCCCAGCCCGTACATGAATTTCACTCCCTTGCCATCATTTTGCTCATAGAAAGGTTCTCCCACAGCAACACGGAATCCGAAATCTCCACCAGAAACATTGCTGGATTCCAAGTAGCAGCAAGCAGTTGCCACTATTCGTTCATCCAGTGCACCCTCCACATGCCAAGCTCCTCCAGCATATGACTCCCCTGGTTCTAGTTCCAGAGAAGCAATCTTGACAATGACTTGCAAGGGACGATCCCGCAGGGACACAGGATTGTTCTTCTCTGTTGGTGGCTCTGGCGGCTCAAAGTTGCTCACAGGGGGAAACAGGAATTTTCGGTTCTCGTGCTGCCATTCCCAGCGCTCATTCTGGTAGCGGTATTCTTCCTCATCTTCTCGTCTTGGTCAAAAACCTTCCTCTGCTGGTTCTTCCCACCAGGTCCAGCAATCAGGGACCGGCACACGGAGAGGTTTTGGATTGGACTTGTCCTCCAATGATTGTGTGAGAGCATCTTCCATGCCTCCAGAAACAGTCCTGAGATTGAAGAATACATGCGAGCATCCTCAACAGGATGTAGTGAGTTGATGTAGCTTGAAATGTTGCATTCTTTCCCCTCCTTATTGACATGAAATTCAGCCGGGAGCCACTGCAGCCCAGCGTTGGATATGGCATCGCTATGGACGTGCAGTGTTAGTCGCTTCTCTTCTTTGATTGTGCCTGCCCCAAGGAACTTGTCCCAATTGCCAGGTTGACAGACTGCTTCTGATCCCACTCCTTCTAGAACCATGGTTGTACCTTGTTCATAGCAGTACAAAGACGGATGGATCAGATCCACCATTTGCGGCGTTCCGGGATGACGATCTTCCAAATCAGATCCAATTGCAGGACGACTCCGCAAAGTGGCAATGTGCCGACCGAGTTTCTGGAGTAACCCATCACTGACAGCTTGTCGACAGAACACTCCCTCCACAGCCGCAGGAACACTGGCTTGTTGTTCTTGTCCGTTTTGAAGGATCCGTTTTGCTTTCCACTGAGTCTCCGCCAGGGCAAAGTCAAAGAGTTGCTGGTTGTAGTCTTCAAGATCATCAGGTTGACGCTCTTGCATCTCCTGTATTTCTTCCAAGGATTCCATGACCTCATCGCGCCAGCGATTTGTAGTGTCCTCATTGGACACCTTGGTCCACCAGTCTGGCTTGTTCTGAATGGCTGCCAAAATATGGAGAATATCCAACTCGGTGCAGGTTCGAGTCTCGACGTCACCAGCAGGGTTGTAGTAATAATTACCTTGATACTTGTTCACATGATCCCAAATGGCCATGGGGAAACCACCGGGAATGTCTATGGTGGCGAACAGTTGGGGCTTCGACGACATCTTGTCGTCGAATTTTCGCTCATCTTATACGGAGGAGGCTGTTCCAGAAACACAGCGGATCGAATCAACAACAACAAAGACAAGAATCCTCTTCCACGGCTTCTGTAAGCGCTGTGTCTAAGATAATTCCGCAGTATAGCTAGCAATCAACAATGACGGGTTCGTCTTTTTGTGGCGGCGGCGAGAAGCGACGAAAAGCGACGAAAAAGCTGGATATCTTTCTTTCGGAAACCCGAGCGAGGCCGTGGCATTCGGAACCTTTAAAGTTAGAAAAGGATCTTTGGCAGGTTCCAGACTTTGGAAAGGGAAAGGGGAGAAGAGAAAAAGGGTCCCCTTTTCCGGAGCGATTTGGGAATGGGGAAACAAGACTGACAGCTGAACAGAGACGATGACACAATCTTGGTAACAATCAAATAGTTGACGGCGGCGCTTCCCACATGAGCCAAAGGAGACTACTAGCACCTTGTGTCATCTGCAACAATGCCAAGCTTGGGTTACCCCAAGCTTCGGATCTCCGAGCTGAACGAGAATTCCACTCGATATGATCATCTCTTGGCCGCCCCCTCCGACGACGAATTGGTCTCCATGTGGAGCGGGTATGCCATTGCCTTTTCCATCTTTGCGACCTTCAATGCCATTGTGTTTCTTGCCATTCTATTGAACAAGAAAGCCCGGCAGAATGGCTTTAATCAATATCTGCTCGCCATTATGCTTCCTGATATCACCTACACGGGATTCTGTGCCCTTGAGACCGTCGCCCTTGTGATCAGGGGAGCCTATTATGGCGCTTGGTGCCGCATCCATGGATTCATTGTGATCTTTTTCATTGTGTCCAACTTTTATCTCAATGCCGTGGTGGCTCATGAAGTCAAGATATTGCTGCAATCTTCCCACAAGCGACAGAGATATTTCCCTCCCACGCCCCAACGAATCTGCCTTTTTGTTAGTGGTACCTATCTCTTTGCCTGCTTGTTGGCTACCGTTGGCATACTGACAGCCGAAATTGACTCGTTTCAGGGAGTCGCCTGCATGCCCTTACCCGGGGACCAAACCAATTCCACAATTGCCTATTTTATCCTCATGCCAATTGTGTTTCTACCCATACTCTACGTCGGCTGGGTGGCACTTGTCATTACACGAGGAGGTCTGCTCCCCCAAAGTGGCCGCACACGAGAAATTGCCCTCTTCTTTTTCCGCATCTTTTTGGTCCTGGTGATCATGTGGCTTCCCACCTTGATTAGTCTCATGGTGGGAATAGCAAGTCACTGGGTATTCTACTTTGTGGGGATTTGGGCACATTTGACTGGAAGTGTGACTTCCATCTTTAGTCTCTGCAAGTCGGACATTCGACAGGCCACCATGGCCCTGCTCTGTTGCCAAGTCCGACAAGTCAATGGCGAGTTTGACAATTCCATGAATGGAACTTCGAGGCGACAAAGAATCAGCCAAGACCACAATGTTTTACACAATAACCGATGTAGCTCCGGCTCGACAAGCAAGAGGTGGTCTTCTCTATGGCTTCGATTCTCTCGGAAGGCAACATTACCAGAAGAAGAACCGACAATTGACAATGGCGAGGGAGTGGGAACTCTGGAAGATGGGGCCATGGAAACGAAAATCTGCAATGGGAATGATGCCGATGGTGAAGACGGTAATGCTACAAAGTCAGAGCGGGTAGGCAGCGGGTGATGGCAAGGATAGAACCTCTTGGTCAGCAGAAAGATGACATTGCTAGGCGTGTTTTGTGCGCATGGTGCGGATGAAGCATATCATGTCAATGAAAGCACCACCGGCAGCCGCGAGGAGAGGGAGGTATGCGTCAATCTTCATCTATCTGTTCGGGGGTAATGGACATCAAGCCGCACTCCAAGATCTGTACTGTACTGTTCGGATAGCTGCAACGATGCTTCCCCGCAATGAAGTCTGCACTGGCATCATGTGGAGCCTCTGGCGTGGCTCGAGTTGATTTTCTACTTCATTCATTCCCAGCGCGTTGCAAGGGCCAGCAGACAATTCTGCGGCAATGGGCAAGGAATACAAAGGATGTCTATCCTGGCTTCTAAATGGATTCGATTCATTCGATTGCAATTCAATCCTATTCCACTCATATAGGTCCTGTAATCAAATCAAGCTAATAGGTACATGCGGTACTACAATGTACAAGCCACAATTGTAGTTTTGTAACGATTCGATTCCAAAGTGTCGCAATCGTCACTTGACGGGCATTTCATTCCTATGTGATGGCAGACCAACCAAGATATGCAAGCGCGACGAGAAAACCATGAATCTTGCTGTGGCGCTGTTTCTCGCTGTGACAGCCAAGAGCAAGCAAGCATAATCCTACTCTTCCTCATCATCATCGATATTCCATCCAATGCTGTACCCCTGATTATTGTTGTTGTTCTTATTATGATAACTGGTATCTTCTTCTTCGTCTCGTTCTTCGGTCCACGTCGTCGGAACGCGGACGTTCGAATGAGAATTGGCCGGCGGCAGGAGCACCCGGGGCATGTCAAAAAAGGGTGCCGTCGACATGGATTGATAGGGTTGTGTTGAAAGGGGCATACTCGTGGAAACTTCTTCGGGGGGCAGTCGGGACACCAAGATGTAATGCATGAGTTGCATTGTTGGAGCAGTACTAGTACTGGCTCCATGACGGGCATGATGTCGTCGTCGTGTTTTGGTCACGACTTTATGTTGTTGTAAGGAAAACGTGACGCCATAGTAGGATTGGTATTTTGCCGTGTAGTCCTTGCAGACTTGGGACACACGATCGGGAAATGTCGACGACACATGCACGCCGGAGAGTACCAAACTGAAGGTGGAAAGCAATGTCAAAAAGAGGCAAATGTCCGGCCAAATGTACTGCCAAAAGACCGAATCACTAGTACTACTGCCGTTGTGAGTTGTAGTAGTATTGCGATGGTCGTTGGCGATCCGGAGTGTCTCATTATTGTGATGGGCTTCTTGTTCTTGTTGATGTCGTTGCAGCATCAGTAATAGTGTAGAAGACCACAACCAGACCAACCAAGACAGGAGCGTCACACTGAGCGAGAGCACCACGGGCCATGATTGAAAGCACCGGTACCAATGACGCGACCAACTCATGGCGTCTTGGACGTCGTCCAAAAAGTCCTTCCATTCCAATTCCGTCAAGACGCGATTCCGATGCAACGGTCGTTCGTCTCGTAACACCGACGGCATGGTCCGATCCAAAATGGTACCGCCCATGACCAAGTGAATTTGGGCCGTCATCATGGCAGAAGAAGAAGAGAAACTACCCGTAGAGTGCATTATGATATATATTGTATGTATATTGGATTGTAGTGTAATGTAGAAGCGGATTTGGTCAGAGGAGTTGGTGATGAGGTGACGGATAGATGATATACCTTGAGTTGGATGACCTCGGCAGGTAAACTGCCTGAGTTCTCAACCCCTTTAATGCTATTTGGTCTCCTAGACCATGCTCCTTTTGGTTTCCCCCTCAGTTGCACTCCGAAATCGATTTGCCGGCGTTTACTGTGTAAATTAGAGTACCGGCACTTCAGTTGCAGAATCAACGGTCATGTGTATCATTAAGTAACAAGTTCCCTTTCGAAAGATTTAGATTGATTCGTGGATAAAAGAACCATTGAAGTTACTAAGGTTAAGGATAAACTGATTGAGTACCGGTACGGTCCATCATTGAAGGCACATCACTGACTTCTCTCCCTCATTGTATTCCTATGGTAAACAGGAGAGAAATCCAAGCTTGGCCGACAACAGTGGTATATCGGTGGTAGGTGCAGGAGGTACCGGTACCGGTACCGGTACCGGTAGGAGGATCGTTCGATCGATTCGATTCGAGGTAAGCCAATTATCAAGAGTGTTAATTGAAAGTACAGCACTGACTTCTCTCCCTCATTCATTTCTATGGTATTCAGGAGAGAATTCCAAGCTCGGCCGTCAACAGGTGAGTTGTTTTAATTATTCGAAACGATCGATCGCACCTCTATTATCTGTTATCCAAGCCTCACTCAAGCCGGCTTTCTCCGGTGTAGATTCGAAAGCCATCCCTCATTGAATCCTATGAACCATGGGATGGCAGTCAGTTCTTGGCCCATGAAAGCGTTACAGTTCCTCCCACGACTCAGAGTATCCGTGAGTAGATTGGGTCATGTTTTATGAGTCAACACGATGGAACAGAGAACGCTGGCAAGAACACGTTCTCAACGAAACCAAAAA